GTCTCTTCCAGGGACGCAGTTGTGCCTAGGGCCTGAGCCTCACAAAGCTTTGGCTCCCGGTGGATATGGAATGAATGTTGAAAATGGTGCCACCTTTGTTTTCTGTTTTTTCCAGATCTTCTGGATTACGTTCAGCGTGGGGGGGTGTGGGGGCAGTCGCACAGCTTAGTGGGGAAGGTCTTGCCTAACTGTGGGTGTATGTCCAGGAGGAAGGCTCTGGACCCTGGACCCAGGTGTGCCTCTGGCTCCCTTTGTGACCTCCAGCAGATCACGTACTCTTTTTCTCCATCCCCAAATATGTAAAATGAGGTGACAATACCTGCCCTGACTGAAGAATCAGGTGACTTGTAGGACAGTGCAGTCACTGGAGCTCAAGTCCTGGTTCCACGGCCTGCTCGCTGCGTGGCCCTGGGCAAGGGGCTCGCGTCCTCTGAACTTCACATTCCTTATCTGTAAAATGGGGGCATAATAACACCTCCCGCACGAGGTTTCTGTGAGCACCGACGTACAGGAAAAGCTTTTAGAACCGTGTCTGGCATGAAGCAAATGCTCAAGAGCCAAATATACGGGGCAGCTCAAGCTGCGAGGGGACTTTGGAGATCAGCTGGGCTGGGCTTCGGGTCCGGGGAGGCTGCAGGGCAGGTGGCCTCCAGGTGGGCTTGCCTGTGCCCAGGTGAGGGTCAGCACCGCCCAGTGCAGGGCTGCTACATGATACAGAAGGACCCAAAAGAAAACCAGGCTGCTCCTGGCAGGGGAGGGTGGCTGCCCTTTTTAACGTGGGGGTGCTAGAAGGAGAAGGTGGAAGGGAACGAGGAGCTGGTCCGTCAGCCCTCGTGCCCTGGGCGCTGGGGACCTGGGGAGTGGAATGCTCTTTGTCTCAGCCACTGGGCCAGCTTGGAGGGTCATTCTGAGAGGTCCCCTCCTGCTGCGTGGCTTGGCTCCTCCTGGTGCAGGAGTCTTGGGGAGGAATGAAGTGACTTCCGCGGCCGGGGCAGGGAGCAGTGTGGTTCCCGTCCCACGGCACTTCTGCTTGCTGTGCACCCACCACCCACCGCGCTGCCTGGAGAGGAACCTCGGGGAGCTCAGGACCTCAACGTGACCGGGCTGGAGGCCCTTCAGCCGCCCACACTTGCTCACTTGGGCATTTGGAAATCCTAGAGATGTTTCCCTCCCTAGACACGCGGGCCTTGAGGACAAAACCATGACTTACGTTTTGTCCCCACACTGCCCAGCACACAGTAGGCACAGAATAGGTGTGCATGGAACTAAGCTGAAAACAGAGTCCAGCAATTGTGTTCCCATTTGGAAAGCTTTAGTCTTAGTGGGGAAGAGGCCCCTGGGGACTTTAGGGGACACCTGTGCTCCCCCATTTCCCTACCCAACTTTCTCCTCTTTCAGGGCTGCCACCTCCTCCACGAAGCCCTCCTGAGCAGCCCCCCCAGCAGCCCCTGGGTAATTCCCTTCTCCCCCTACCCCTCTCTTTGCACCATATACACTTCTGCCATCGAAGTGGGCTAGAGTAGCAGTTAGAAATCACTTTAACCTCCTCGTGCCTCAGTTTCCTCATCTGTACAATGGAAGCGATTAGAGTTCCTACCTCATAGAGTTGCATGAGAATTAAATTGGTTAGGAGATTAGAACCCCTTGAGCAGTGTGCAGTGTTCAATAGCTGCCCCAGGCCGCTCTGTTACTTCCTAATGGTGCTGAGATTGCCCAGCTCCCACTCTAGACTCTGGCTGGGCTCTTCCACTTCCACGTCCTTCGTGAGGCCAGAGCTCTGCAGAGCAGGCACTCAGCAGAGCGTGGAGGGCGGCTGGGTGCCGGGTGCCGGATGCAAGCCGGTGGCTGAGAGGTGCCGTGCCCCGTGACCTCGCCTGCAACCTCCCAGAGGCCGTGTAGGATCCTGTCTCACTGCCCTGCGCCTTGGCCCTTGGGGCCTTCTCTGCTTATTCACTGGGGGCACAGGAGAGGAAACACATGAGAGGGGATAGAAAGTTTTGACAAAAATGAAGTTTCTGGATGTGCAGTGCTTTTTTCTTCTATCATCCTGGCTCCTGAGGCCCTGACAGCACAGCCTGGGCCTATGGGCTCCTTGCCAAGGCCTGTCCCTGCCGGGACCCTCAGCCTCTTACCCAGGGGCCTGCCTGGAGAGGGCATGGCCCCACCCCCAGGTCCAGCTGTCCCCAGGCCTGCCGAGAGCCTACTGTGTGCCCGCAGTCAGGCACGGCCTCCACAGCAGGCACGGGAGGAAGGCCCTGCACCCCCGCCTTTTGCTCACCAACCCCCACTCAAGCGCCTCTGTGCCGGACACAGGGCTCAGAGGCGGAGAAGACAGGCAGGAGGCCGGGCCAGGTGGGAACTCGCCAGGTGTGTGGCTGGCTGGACCAGGCTCAGCTGCCGTGAAGCTCTGGGAGCGCAGGGACCGCAGAGCCAGCACGGGGTGCAGCCAGGGGGCCCCTGGGCAGGGCGGAGCCAGCACCAGTGTCGGAAGGGGAGGGTCCCATGTTCCGGGGCAGCTTGGCACTCGGCTACCTCCCGGTGCCAAGCTGTAAGGAGACTTGTGGAGGCACAGACTGAGCCTTTCGAACGCTCGCCCTGTGCCCGGAGGCATTAACATGAGGTCTGTCACATGGCATCGAGGTGCTTAGACAACCTGCTCCCCCCAGGAGCTGGGGAACAGTGTGAAGCGGATTATCTGTGTCTCACTGTGACATACGCGACCATGTATCACCGTGATGGGTCACCACTCAGCACCACTGGGGTCCCCGGCCCCCTCTCCACCTTCCCCCGGGCGCCGGCAGGAAATGTCTTGTGCTCATCCATCTTTCTCTCCTGGTGGCTGTCCCTGCTCCTCCCACGCTCCTGGCGTTGGTGGGAAACAGCTTCTGGTTTTCACTGTTCATGTGTGAAGTGGCTGAAGGAAAAGCATTTGGGCAAAGACCGAACCTGGACCTCACGGTGCCACCACCGGGGCTGCAGGCGGGGTGCCTGGACTCACCGGAAGAGGCCGTTGTGGGTGGGAAGAGAGGCCCGCGCAGCCGGGAGTTAGAAATCCTGCCCCAAGGACCTGCCCTGATCTTGGGCAAGTTGCTTTGCTTTGGGGGGCTGTGGTCTTCTTTCTAGCACGATTGGGACAATCATAGTTATGTCACGGGGGGGAATGGCACCCATGGAGAAAGGAGATAAGTTCTCAGCAGCTCAGCCACCTTCCCACCCACTTCCTCCTCGAGCCAGGAACCTCCCGCGCCAGGCCCTTTCCTCTGAGGCTCCGCACAGCCGGCAGACCCTGGCCCCCACCTGACCCGGCCGGTGCTGGGCTCCAGGCTGCGCACGGTGAAAGGCTCCCAGTGCACGGGGGAACGGGGCCCTGGCAGCAAACAGCAAACTGTCACTGTCCCCGTGTTGGCACCTGCTGGAGGCGAGAACAGGGCTGTGCTGTGCAGCCAGATGGGGAAGCGGTTCGTGTGTCTCACGGCGGGGGTGGCGGGAAGGGGTGAGCTAAGGTTCAGGGAAGCCACAGGGAGGAGATGACTTTTAAGGTGAGCCGGAGAGGAGGTGTCCTCTGGGCCTCTGCCAGGGACCCACAGTGGCCCTTG